GCTCGGGCCTGGAGCCTGCTTCGGATTCTGTGTCTTCTCCTCTCTCTGCCCCTCCCCTGCTCATGCTCTGTCTCTCTGTCTCTCAATAATAAATAAACGTTAAAAATTTTTTAAAAAGAAAATCATTGATCCAGCATTACAGAACTGTTTCATTATTGTACACGACAAGGTAGATCCATATGTCTGAATACGTATGCATACAAAAAAGCCTAAAATAATATATACCTAAATATTTACCTTTGCTTTCTTCATCTTTTTCTGTATAGCTGAAGTTTTTCTGTATATCTGATTTACGTAATCAGAAAAAGTAAATGACTGAAATAAATGTTTCTGTAATGAATGATAAAGGTTCTTCCTACAAAGTGTCTCGGGAATCAGTCCACTCTGACCCATCTCTAACCCCACCCCTTGGTCTAAAACAAATCATACCTCACCTGAAATACTAGCTGCCTCCATGACAGGTCCATTCCCTGCCTCCATCCCAGTGTTCTTCCAAAGCCAGGGTGACTCCTTCAGAACACACATCTAATAGAGGGAGGGCTTAAAACCTTTCCATTTTTGTCACTGAAATCTGTATCTGACCCAGAAAAGTGGTTTCCAAACTTTGGGGTACCTACAAATTACTTTTTCCAGTGGGGATGGGACCACAAATATTATAAGTACCCCAGGGGATTTTGCTGCAGCCAGCTCTTTTTTCATACTTGGAGAAAAAAACAAACAGCCTAGAAGCTTCTACATGATCTGGTCCCTACCCACCTCACCTTTCTTCCTTTAGCTGGCTTTCTCTTATGTTCTTGAACCGTGTGCCCCTTGCTCCTCAGGGCCTTTGCATACGCTATTTTTTTTTTTTTTTTTTTAAATTTCTGGAATGCTCCACTCCCTTCTTCTCTTTGCCTGGCTAACTCTTACTCATCCATAGAACTCAATAAAATATCACTTCCTGAAAGTGGCCTTCTTTGGTTCTTAAGCTAAATTAATTCCCCTTGTTCTATATGCTTTAACTGACCCTGATAGCAACTTGCAAATATGTACCTATTTATGGCATTGTTGGTTCAGTGTCCGTGTCTTCCCCTAAACTGTAAGCTTCTTGAGTGCAGAAACCCTACATTTCCTCTCAGCACAGTGCCTGGAACAACAACAAAAAGACTTAATGAATATTTGTTGAGTGAAATGAATGAGTATTAAAAGATTAAGCTGGGGTGGCTGGGTGCTCAGTCAGCTAAGCCATCAGATTCTTGATCTCTGCTCAGGTCGTGATCTCACGGTTCATGAGACTGAGCCCCACATGGAGCTCTGCACTGACAGCTTGGAGCCTGCTTGGGATTCTCTCTCTCCCTCTCAAAGTAAATAAACATAAAAAAAATTGGGGCACCAGGGTGGCTCAGTCCATTAAGTGTTGGACTTCAGCTCAGGGCATGATCTTGCACCCCGTGAGTTCGAGCCCCACATCAGGCTCTGTGCTGACAGCTCGGAGCACGAAGCCTGCTTCGGATTCTGTGTCTCCCCCTCTCTCTCCCCTCCCCCACTCGATCTCTCAATCAATAAATGTTACAAAAATTTAAAAAAAAACAAAAACAAAAAAACATTAAGCCAAAGG